CCCCACACACACACTCACACTCACACACAAACACTTAAACGAACAGCAAAAACAGAACCACAAAAAAAACCCCACGAACCAACGACAAACGTAAAAAGAATCAATTACATTATGTACCGGGTACCCTATTGCATTGTCACACCGAATTACATTAACCAGAATCCTCGTGACTCTTTCTCCGCGGAACTTGATTAAAAGTTGTAGATCTACTCAAATATTGACCTATCATAATCAATAACCAATACATGTAGGCCTACGTCATGTCACTGGAAGTTACATTCAGAAACCAGCTTAAATACTGAGCACGGCTGAAAAACATGCATATTAATAGGCCTATTACTCTGACGACTTATCTCTCTGTGGGGGACTATTCAAGCTCCCTAGGCTTTGGAAAAAAATGATCTCCACCTCAAAAAGACTCGATCATCTGAAGACATAAAGCGAGTTCTTAGGCGGACCGGGCTCATTGGTGGATTTGGAAGGACACAACTCGGCGGTTCCTACCCGTAGGCTTTCCCTTGTTTACTCTATGATGAAATAATGGCCCACATGAGGTATTGATGCTAGAAGGAAGGGCCTTGAGGTAGAGAGAATTGCGTGTCCTTTCATTTTCTTTTAAAAAATTAAAAAAATAATAATCACGTGCGGGTTTGCATGTCTGAGTGGTGTGCATATTTTTTAGGAGCAAATACAAAACCAAAAACTTTAGAGTAACATTTAAAAAAAACAAGAAATTAAGTCACTATGATCTGAACTTACAAAACAGTGCTACCATTTGCAACTCTAAGGTGCAATTGAAGTAGGCCTAGCCATGAATGGACTATCGTTTATAAGACAATCGGATACTTTGGACTCTTGAGAGGAGCAGGTGATTGCACCAATCGAAAAATACTTTGCTCGACAGAGCTCACGTGCGTGCTTAACGAAAGGTTATGTATCCACAAGGTCTGTCTCAGAATAAAGTTTCCTTCCTCCATAGAATCAAAAGTGCGCAACCAACAGCCACTAAATAAATTTTGTGACGTCATGATATCATGTATAAGAAATCTCAACGCCAAATTGCAAGTGCATTGGTGAACGCAGCGAGTATTTAATTATATTTTATGGTCTCTGGTGAACGGGTCATAGAGCTGTGACGTGTCAAGTGTGGTGTTCTTGTGCACTTTGTCCAAGGCAAATTCGAGGAAAATGGCGGAGCAAAACATTGGTGCAACCTTCTCATGCTACGATGTCCGAGTTGTGATCAAATTTTCAACTCTTCTCGGCAAGTCCGCAGGTGAAACCCATGTTGATTTATACAACATATTAAAATAATAGAGAATAATGCCCCAACAACAGTTCAAACAGTAAGGGAATGGATCAGGGAGGTTGGAGGGGGGAGGTCTGACATGAAAGATGAAGCGCTCACAGAAAACACGGGGAGAGAAAGGTGATGCACATTGTTTTTGTTTTTTCGATATGAGTAGCATCATACTGAGCGGGCTAGTCACACCTGGCGTAACTGTCAATGGTGATTACTACAGGTTCGCCCTCAAAGACAAGCTACCTACGATCCGGAAAAAAACCCTCTTTGCTTGAAGAAGGCGTCATCCTGTATCATGGCAATGCGCCTGTTCACAAGTCCAGAGTTTGTACGAGCTTTCTGAGGGCTACTCGTCTGAATTATTGGAGCACCCGCCTTTATTCGCCCGATCTCGCCCCATGCTACTTCCACCTTCTCCCCGAGGTGAAAGAAATGCTGCGAGATCGGCGATTTGAGGACGAGGACCAGATTCAAGATGCTCTGAGAAAAGCACTCGGGACCTTGGACAAACAATCAGTGACCACTGTCTTTGACCACTGCAAGGGTACATCGAAATGGAGAAATGTATTGAACTTGATGGTTCCTACGTGGAATAGGTATTTGAATAAGGTTTCTGTTGATACCGAACACAAAGTGATTTATAATTATACGTGAGGACAGCAAGGCAGGGAAACTTTATTTTGAGATAGACTTCGTAAGTTTAAGTGTGCACATAGGCCTGTTATATCGATCTCGAAGTGGGCTGATCCACACCAGCCCCTGTCTTCAGCCATGCCCGCACAACGTGGGGTAAAGCAGCCAAGAGAACTTAATTGCCAGAGTTAAAACCGGGTTAATATGCGAATTTCTATTTTAGGCGGGTTCTTACGCATGCTATTCAATTCATAGAGAAAAAAAATCCGTCTCATGATAAACGTGGGTTCGACAGATTGTCTTTTCACGCTGAGTGTTCTGAAGCTGAGACCTCTATTTTACATTCCTCTAGTCTTTAGTCAACGAAATGTTTTTGCACTCCCTTTAAAGCATGGGAAGTTATAGACCTACATTTTTGTGTGGATCGGGGAGGTGAAAAAAAAAAGGGGGGGGGGGGGGTATTTTTTTGAGGACGGCAAAACAAGCCTTCTTAATTCCTTATTGAATATACATGTATTTTTTAAATATGCAAAAAATCCCAACTGCAAACAGTTTCAACCTTTTAAACCAAATATAAAAGTAAATGGAAGGAGCATATTTAAATGCTTTCAAACAACAAGTGCGCGCGCGTGCTTTTGTGTGTGTGTGTGTGTGTGTGTGTGTGTGTGTGTGTGTGTGTGTGTGTGTGTGTGTGTGTGTGTGTGTGTGTGG